TAATAGTATGTTTATCTGAAGTGTAACCGACACTGTTAATTGCTACCTGTTTGGAATTGCCTATGTTCTTGTTGTGAGGGCTAGCCCTTTATAATAGCCTCCAGCTAGTTGGGCAGTCCTGGCTGTATTTATATGCCTTATACAGTCCAATACATCAAATCAAATCTAATAACGATGGTTTACAAAATAAACAGTGGATATGCAATATATGGACATGTAAGGGGAACAAGGTAACTGCTATTCTAATTTAATCTAATTTATTCTATTCAACTATTCTTGCCATGCTTTAGGGGTTATAAATAAACGACTTGCCTCTGTATCCGCAGGATGCCCGGATGTTGACCCTACTTTGACCCCATGGAATCCTGGGCACGACACTAACGCGCAGGTGGTTGTGGGTAGAGGGCAGAACTACTTGCTTCAGTCATCAGCCACATTTCTCTCACTGGAAGTCTATGATGGAGGTAAATTATACTTTCGTTGGACTGTTAAAAGGAATGATTATTTTGTACGTTTCGATGACTGTCTTTCAACCTTTCTCAGGGCAATTCTGACTGGTTAACCCTACCTAGACCGGGGGGGGGCTAAAAGTGCCCGCGGCAACTTTGATGTCACCTAGCGTCTGAACGGCTAGCCGTAGAACGACCAAACTTGGTGACTTTTCCTAAAATATTGTTGGCAACAATACTCTATCATTGGAATAAGATAATAATTTTTTGTGTTGCCATGGCAACGGGTTTCTGACAGGCATTTTTTTGCTAAATTTAGTACTTTTTGTTTCAACAATAGAATTTTATGGGTTTTATGTCAAGTTACTCATGGTTTCTAATATTAATAACATCCCATATAATTTTATGTAAATTTTATCATTAAATATGCATAATTTATGCTAATTTTATGACGTCATTGGTCAAAATCCAAGATGGCGGACCATATCATTAGAACAGGTATATACGGGTTATTTTCATTAAAATTTCATCAATACTTCCATTTCTTTTTACAAAAAAGGTTTAAATGAAGGTGTTTAGTATGTTTACAATGTATTTTAGGCTTTATCATGAAAAAAAAAACTATTTTTGAAAATTCAAGATTGATGATCCAAGATGGCGGATATCTTAAATATGCATGACGTCATTTTATGACGTCACCGGTGTTGCTATGGGCAACATAAGACTTAGTACACACTAATATTCTGTCATAAACACTTTTGGTAAAGTTATGTTGTATACCAGGGAGGTTTTCAGGGAAGAACCTATTTAGACGGTTTTGGCCAATAAAATCACATTAATGACGTCATAATGACGTCATATTACGTCATAACGACATAAAAATTGTAGATATGATAAATTTTCACTAGTACACCATTCTCTGAAAATTTGGTGGTCATACGACATACCGTTCGCGAGTTCTTATGGGGGGGTCAAAAGAGCCCCCCCCCGGTCCCCCCATGTCAAAAAAAGCCCGGTCTAGGTAGGGTTAACATCACACAAAACAAGGTGCCACTATTTATAGACGCGTTTGCAAATAAGCGAAAAATACCTACAAACGTACAGAAAGTTACATAGAACAGTATCTGCAATGCGGTCCCAAACGTACTTACGTGTTACGTAAGCTAAACAAAACACCTGTTATCGTATAAAACTAAGTCTTATTAGGTCCTCTTCACCCTGATAAAACTTTTAAAGAAAGAATACACCAATTTAGGCAAGATACATGTACCACAAGATTAGCTACAACTGTAATCACACCCGTAAACGGTAAAGGGCCATAAATGTCATATTATGAATGCCATGAATGTGTGGGGTCGTGTGACGTAGTGGCTCGACTCGGAACCAAGAGGTCCTGACATGCCACCGATCTTATTTCCTTGGGAAAGGCACTTTACACGACTTTCCTCACTTCGCTCAGGTGTAATTTAGTATTAGTATTGTATTGTCCCCTGTGTTGGCGGCATTAATATAAGTTGAAAGAAAACTTGAGTGTGAAGTCACCACGTCTTGTGATTATATGTTGGAATATGAAAAAAAAATATATTAGCTATTCTCTGTCTGTATCCATCTGTGCAGGCAGGGTAGTCTTTGCTGACTTGGGCCGGGACAGTGATACAGAGATAGTCCTGAGGGCACGTGCGATCACCGTGTGGAGAGATGGAGAGTTCCACATCGGCAGTGAGACGTGCCCGTACCAGGGGAAGGCCACGGTGTCCCTGTACGGCCGGAAGGACGAGCCGTGGAACAGTAAGGAGTTCCTGGTCATGGTAGGCGGGACATTGGAGGTCCACGGGCAGCACAAGCTGGCGTGGACACAGCTGACCCAGACAGTTCCGGCATGGGGCCTTCCTAAGGTGAGTCTTCAATTTAGTCCTGTCCAAAAAGTCAACGTACACTGATTTGATTTTGCATGTACGTTTTGAAATAATTGAACAGGGCAGCATGATCAATCTATTACTCAATAGTAGACAAAAACCTTTTCCCCCCTAGTTTCCTAAATCTTCGCGTGCCTTTAGAAACTTTATACAGCTCTGTGTGTCATATTGGATTACATAACAAATTCAGCCTTAGCAAGTACCATTCATGAATGGTATCCTCAAACGAATTGTTTTTCGCATGTTTTGCAAGAAAATAAGAAATTTCCTCCCGTGGTATCCAGTAGAAAAGTTGTAAAAGTAGTGTGATAGTGATATTATGCTAAGTCACCACGCTAGTGTTCCTTTTTGGACTTGCCGAAAACAGAAAGTCTTATTGGCAGAGATGCCACTTTTTTGCTTCAATTGTTTAACTCTTTATTTTATTAGGAGTCTTGATTTGTTTAGTCCATCTCATCTTTTTTTTCTCTAGCTCTCGAAAATATTCGGACTATGCTGAGGAAGTCATGCATAAAATGTAATTGTTATGGCCTAGCAATTAAAGACCTCCTTCTTACCATGAGACGAGTTACTACAACAGTGTTTGATTTGTTGTACACCAGGGTGGCTTTGCCTGGGACTCCGTTACTAGTCACAGGGGCCGGGGAATGATCGTGAACGTCATCGATGAAATCTCGGGGGCCGTGGTGGACTGGCGAAGTTTCGACACTCACGGCAGTTTCAACAACAGCCGCGATCTCGCGACTTTCATCGACCAAATACCGTCAGGAAAAATCGTGACGCTGCAAACACAAGAAGAGGCATCAGCCAGACTGGAGGCGACCGCCCGGGAGAAGATCAGGGCTTTGGGAAGCGTTCTGGTGGATTCCTTATCCCTTAGGTACAAAATTTTTACAAAGCTATCTTTTAGGAACAGGTCAAGTATCCATAGGCAATAAATATTCAAAAGTAATGATCGCATGTCAAACAAGGAATCAGAGTATTTTTAGACTTCTGCAAACTATTTAGTACGTTCACCCCATTCCCTGTCTGACCTTGTAACCACCTGACATTCTGCCAGTCAATCTTCTCCTAACCCAAATGCTGTCAACCTAGTATCAACCAGTAGGCGTAGCGGTAGCGTCTCCGGCCCAGACTCAAGAGGTCGAGAGTACGACTCCTGCCCGATGTGACCGTTCTTGTGCCCTTGGGAAAGGCACTTTACACGACTTTCCGTACTTCACTCAGGTGTAAATGAGTACCTAGCTTCGGTTAGGGACGTCCCTCGTACAG